CGCGCGCGTGCTGTCCTGCCTTTCCGCATGCCTCGAGGCATGAGGCCTCGTCCGCTGCGCGTGAGTCCCCTTCGCCCAACCTTTCCGCGTGTGCGCCAATCAACCCCGCGCTACCCGCGTTCCGCCCACGGACGCCGTCCGCGCACATCACTCGCACATCCTCGTGCAGTTTTCCTTCGCTCGTTCCGCGCGCACTACACTCCAGTGCGCGTACTTCTGCCGTCTCTCGGGCCAACCTCTTGCGTGCGTGATATGCCCGGCTCGCTGCGTTCTTGAGCTGCCTAGCCACTTCCGCATCATTCTCGTCCCCTTCAAGTGAATCCTTGTCCTCAAGGATGAAATTTGGGAATTGATCGCGCATCTCATCAAGATCTTCCCAGGTGGCTTCTTCGGGTGGCAATTCTTCCCAATCAACTAGTACTTCCCAATGATAGCGTTCTGCTTTTCTTACCTTGCGATATTCAACTGCCCGTTTCGGGCGCACGATGATCCTCCCATCAGTTGCAGTGGCTGGTAACTCCTCACAATACTTCTGTGCTTCTCCTAGACTTCTTTTTAGTTGTGAGACATGTATAACCGGATGGATCTGTGAACTTTCTGGTAGCTCTAGACGATAAGCTACCTGACCAATGCGCTTCAGAATCTGATACGGCCCATAATAGCGAACGCCCAGCTTAGTTGTGGCCCTTTGTGCTGTTGTGCGTTGTCTGAATGGTCGTAGCTTTAGATAGACGTACTCTCCTGGTACAAAATTTTCCTCACGCCTTTTCCCATCTGCGAAGGACTTGGTCCGATTAATCGAGCCTTCGAGATTTTTCTTCATCTCTCGCAACATCAGGTCTCGTTCCTCGAGCTCTCGACAAACCTCATCGTTGACTGTACTCCCCTCCGAACAGTTGATCAATGTCGGGGGTTTACGCCCGTATACCAGCTCAAATGGAGTCATCTTGGTCGACTCATGGTAAGTGGTGTTGTACCAATACTCAACCCAAGGCAAAAAGTTTTTCCACCTCTTCGGAAATTGATGGACATAGCACCTTAAGTACTGCTCAAGTGTTCGGTTGGTCACCTCAGTTTGTCCATCTGTCTGTGGGTGGTAGGCTGAGCTAATAGATAACTTGGTCCCTTGCAGCTTAAAGAATTCGGACCAAAAGTTGCTCATAAAAATCTGGTCTCGATCAGAAACGATAGATCGTGGTGCTCCATGCAGCTTCATCACATACTCCACAAATAACCTGGCAATCGACTTTGCGGTGTAAGGATGAGTGATGGGTATGAAGTGAGCATACTTTGTGAGTCGATCTACCATGACCATAGCACCATCGAACCCATTGGAACTCGGTAACCTTTCTATTAAGTCCATGGTAATGTCTTCCCAGATAGCCTCGGGTACCGGTAGAGGTTGTAGCAGTCCGCTCAGCCGTCGTGAGTCAGCCTTAGTGCGTTGACAGTCGTCGCATCGTGCGATGTAGTCACGAACCGTATTCTGCTGTCCCGGCAAAAAGAACGTATTGGCTATTCTCATCCATGTGCGATAGATACCCGAGTGGCCTCCAATCTTAGACCTGCTCGCGTAACTGCCCACTGTCAGGAACAAATACTCGGCCTCGGTGTTGAAGCAGACCATTGTGCAACTCATAGTCAATAGCAGTCGTCTTACCTGCTTCTATCGCTTGGCGCAAGTCCTGGCAATAAGCGTCCTCCTCTTGCGCCTTCCTGACTTCTTCCCAAATATCCAAGCCGGTCCAGTGATAGCATTCAGCTCGGCTACATCAGTCCGTCTGGATAGTGCATCAGCTACTGCATTCTTTCGACCAGGCCGGTAGACTATCTCAAAATCAAACCCCATTAGTTTTGAAACGAACTTCTGCTGCTCGGGGGTAACAATCCTTTGCTCGAGTAGATGCTTGAGTGGCTGCTGATCGGTCACAATCCGAAAGCGTCGGCCCAATAGATAAGGCCTCCAGCACCTTACAGCCTCTACAACTGCTAGCATCTCCTTCACGTACACAGATAGACCCAATCGTGTAGTGCCTAGTGCCTTACTGAGATAAGCTAAGGGTCGCCCTTCTTGCACTAACACAGCTCCGATCCCAATGTCACTCGCATCGGTGTGTACCTCAAACAAGACATCAAACCTTGGCATGGCGAGCACTGGCGTTGTAGTCATGGCTACTTACAGTTTCCCAAACGCCTCCTCGCTAGCTTCGATCCATGTGAACCCGCCTTTCTTAGTCATCTCTGTCAGTGGCTTGGGCGATGGTCCCATAATCCTTTACGAACTTTTTGTAGTAGCCCGTGAGTCCTAGAAATCCCCTTAGCTGTGTGAGACTTGTCGGTTTAGGCCAATCGATCATAGCCTCAATCTTTCGTGGATCAACCTTCA